TAGTTGATATAGTAGACATATTAGTTATATCTTTCTATGTAATTTATTTTATATAAATAGATAGCTTTTTAGTTCATATAAAAAGACAGACAGATAGGAACTTGATAAGTTAGTTTTTAATAGTTTTAAGAGAACACTGGCCTACTGTGTTATATTCTAATTTAGTATTTCGTTTCTTCTCTTTTTCTATTTTATTTTCTTTATTTTTTTTATTTCTTTTCTTTTATTATTTTACTCGTGAATAAACACATTATTTTACAAATATAAATTACTGGTAATCTGTTAAATCATAGTTTCTTGTAATAGTATAAACATTTCTAATAATCAATCTAACATAAAACTTGCAAACTGTTAAAAGATTACTGCTCAATTAAAAAGAATAAACCACTTGAATACCCTGTCTAATAATCGTAGTTCACAAAAATTATATGTTAACAACAATGATAGAACTATCTTTTCCTAATTGACATAGTAATAACTCATGCAAAATACCTCATGAACAACTTTAGAGAATTAATTAAGTATCAACGAAGTCATTCATCTGTACACAATAGACAAGAGTGTAATTTAAGAAAAGCTACTAGTAATTTTACTTTAACAGATGATTCATCCTGTATTGCTTATAACTCACCTCCTAAGGATATTTCTCAATCTTTTCTCAATTTCTTTAAGCGAGCACAGAAAGTCTTAGGAGTGTCATTATACATCAGCAAAAGTTTAGAAGCTTTTCAAACTGCAATTTCTGTAGAAACTACTACTGTATAAGAAGTATACTATAAACAGACACTTAACACCCTTAGATATAAGAACGTACCCATACCAACTTTTGAGTGAGCCATCATCTATTATATTCAAATTCAAGCTAAAACTAATTTCTTTTAGAAGAAATTCCAAGGTGATTTACTTACCTATCTAATATATTACTTGTAAACTCCAGTCGTAATCCTTCTCTTTTCAAAATGACTGAACCTTTTAAAAATACCACTCTCGAAAGTAATGACGCTTTCAAGTCAGCTGAAGAAAATTTCTCCTTACTTCAAGAAAGCTACCCATCACCTGAAAAAACTGTAATTTCTAATATCACTCCTAGCAGAAAAGATACTAGCAAGCGAACGTTAAGTTTTGATAAATCAACTTTAGCTCCTACAGAAGAACAGAAAACTATCTAAGCTAACCTACAGAGGATTTTTAGATGAAAAAGAAGTAATCTTAAATCAAAAGGATACTAGTCTTTTA